TGATTTATTATCATGTTTAATAGTAGAATCCAGCTGTTGTGATTGTTCAGGGTGTTATTCTCTTAAGACTGTAATCCCACGCAGATAGGCCATAGTTCAATGCTAGAACATCTGTTTTGCAGAATATTTCAGGTCCATTCCCTGGCATCTCCCAGTAGGGCTGGGAGAGTTCCCTATCTGAAATCCTGGAGAGCTGCTGACCATCGGTGGAGATAATACTAGGCTAGATGGACCAGTTGTGTAAACTTGGTATAAGGCTAAGGCAGCTTCCTAAGTAGCTGGGGGAAAGTGTGATTGAACTCATTGAGGCTTACTTCTAAGTAGATGTATATAGGGTAGAGCTGAAAGTTTCTTAATATATTGTTACATTCGTATACATATAGACTTACCTTGGTTTTCAGACACCTTGGTACTCTGACTTTTTGGCTCCCAAACGCCATAAACCCAGAAGTGAGTGTTCTGGTTTGCAAATGTTTTTTGGAAGCCAAATGTCCAACGCGGCTTACGCGGCTTCCAATTAAGTGCAGGAAGCTCCTGCAGACAATTGCAAGCCACATCTTGGTTTTCGAACTGTTCCGGGGATTATGTTTGACAACCAAGGTACCACTGTATCTTGTTTATAATTTGTCTAAAAGCTCAAAAGCCTTGTAGAACAAAGTCTACATTGCATGGACTTCACACCTCACCTTAGATGTACATTAACTCTTCTCAGTATGGGGTATTTGTCTCTCACCTGAGCATACTCCATTGGGATATCTGAATCACCAATATTCACAAGCCTGGCTCCTGGGTTGAGGGGGTCATATGTGGGCCCTGCCAGACTAACCTGGCAGTCATCTTAATTCCCCATAATGCTCAAGAGCAACACTACATCAAGAGCATCATGGGAAATGTAAACTGCAGGTAGACTCAGCCACCTGGTGTTACTCAAAGCACCAATCTGCAGTTTTTTTAAGAAGGCCAAGGCAGGCATTGGCAGCAGACCCTGAGAGCTGTCCAGGGATGCTGGGTGCTGACACTGGTCTTGAACATTTACAAACACATACTCCTTTTAATCCTCTTTTCCACATGCCTCATAATCATATGTTATTTTCTATACTTATCACAACACCTTATCCATCTACATCCTTCCTCACATATGCTGCGACTCAAGATACATGGCGCAGTTCCTCCTACACACAAATTTATCTCATATATTGTGTATCCCTTGATACAGTTCAAATACATTCTTTCGCTTATCGAATCTTAGGGAGCAATCCAACCCCAAGAGCTACTGGGGTGAGAAGAGCCTGGAATAGGCAGCTCTCCAGCAGAGCTAGGTAAAAGCTTTCTTCCCAGCTCAGATACAAATGGGGTTAAGTCCTTCATCTTAGCTCAGCTGACTCAGTTGAAGTCAGCTGAGCCAAGGCTAGGGTACGTCCTGTGAAAAGGGTGCTCCATAGGAGTGGCAAGGGTGAGGTGGGGGGAAACTTATCTCTGTTCCAAACTCTGTTCAGCTTAGGAACATGACCTAGCAACCCAGTGGAAGTTCACTGGCAAAAAAAAAAAGGTGGTGAAAGACAAACTCGGTTTTAAAGCTTTATTTTTCCTCCGCCATGCTCAGATCAGATCTGCCCACATTAGCCTCACTCCTGAACAGAGTTTGGAACAGGGGTAAATTACACAGGCATTATTTACTCTGTCATAAATTATGCTGGCTTCCTAAAGCTTGAATTCTTCTGCCTGAGAAATAATGTAATTTTAACCAATATCTATGTAGCATATGTTAAGATCCCAGAAAAGAAAGTTAACTACAGGTTTGTTTTCAACCAAGTTTAACAATGCCAAGTAAGCCCTAGGTTTGCATGAAGTCATAGATGTAGATATATTTGCATGTAAAATAGTTAGGAATGAACCAAGGAAAAAGAGAAGGTGATCTGCTTTCTGCAAGAAGGCTTCATTTTATTTTATTTTATTATTAATTTATTTAAAAAATAGACATATATAAAAAATAGACTATATAAAATTAATAGTGGGAACTGGAGGTGCATAAATTTGCAGATTATATGCCTGTGATGAGTTTGATGTGGAGGGAAAGTATTTATGCCATTGAGTAACAATTCTGCTTCTTCAGTGCAGGATCAAAAAGGGACTATCCTTCAGTCTGTGAATAATGAAACAGCCTTGAAAGCTTAGTCACTGCAGTGCAGCAAGTAGCAAACAGGATGGGGCTTTAGAGCCTTTTTCTGCTGATAGAAAAGGAAGAAAGGAAGGAAGAAAGAAGCCTGCACCACCTCCCAGGAGCTACAGATGCAGTTTCCATGACAACCCCACATCTGAGTCAGAACTATTAAGGATCACCATGGCAACAAGTGTCTCACTTGCCATTTCCAGAAAACTGATGGTGTTTGGACTGGAATCATCACACCCTATCTAAAGGGGCAGGGTTGTGGCTGCACTAGGAGACACAGCATGGATCCAGCCAGTTCTGGGTGTGTTGCTGCTATCATGATAAATGGGCCAAAAACTACTCTGCTCTGCTTGATGGTGTCATGCCAAGGATTTTAAAAATACCTGGAATCCCCTTCTCTGTTGAAACTCTCAGACTGTGGGTGTCTGGGTGGGAGACAGGACTGAGAACATGCTGATTGTTGATGCAGATTCATGAACTCCAAGTGCAGGGCAAGAGGAAGTGAGATCATCCACTGAGCACATCCATTACTCATTATGCTCCTATTCCAGTACGTCACAACCAGTTGACTTTTCATTTCCACCTTTTCTACAAATACAACACAGGGGAAATTGAAAATTCAAACAAACACATACACAAACTTTGAAATGGCACTGGGAGGTTCAGAAGATGGCTTTGTTTCACAGGGCATTTGGCCAATAAGAAATTGTGCCATAATTGTGGCAGATTCTTCCAGAGCAGCTGGCCTCAAAGTAACACCTCTGTAATGTGTATCATATGAGCTGTCGTGCCAGAAACACATGTCTTAGTGCAAGTCCTGGACCACTGCTTCAATGCAATAGCAGATTAGATGAGGGCCCATTAGTTGAAACTGAATCCCAACAAGATAGAGTTTTTAGGGGTTTTTGAATGTTTTATGTAGTTTTGTAGTAGTTTTATGTAGTTTTGTGGTAGTTTTATGTAGTTTTTATGTAGTTCTATGTAGTTTTCAATTTCATTGTTCCGCAAGGGACAATGACAATAAAGATATCGTATCGTATCGTAATAGAGCCCCTTTAAGTGGGTGAGAGTGCATGGTTCTTGTTTCCAGCAAATAGGCAGGTTGCCTGCACTAGACAGAGTTGCACTCCCTCTGAAAGAACAGGTGTGCAGTCTGTGGGGGATCCTAGCTCCAGCACTGTTGTTGGAGGTGCAGGTGGCCTCTGCACCAAGGAGTGCCTTTTGATAGCTTGGCTGATTCACCTGCTATGGCTGTTCCTAGATAGGGATAGCCTAGCCACAGGGATCCATAGACTAGAAACCTCAAAGTTGGTTGCTGTATAGAGTGGCATCCCCCTCTCTGTGGGGTTGCCCTTGAAGATGGTTGAGAAGCTGCAGCTAGTGTAGAACATGAAATTACATTGGCAATGAATAATAGTGGGGGTTTTTTATTTATGAATGAATGAATGAATGAATGAATGAATGTGTCCTAGAATTTACACTGACTCTCTGCAGCTCTCTAGTTACAGTACATGGATTTCCTCCACCACCCCAAGAAAGCAAAACCATAAATTGCACTATTGCTGTCACAGTCAAATTCAAAAGGGATTCTAGCCAAGCAAAAGTTTTAGAAGAGTCATCAAAGGCTGACTCACAATCACTTGCGTAATGAAAGTTAATTCTGTGTATTCTCTTTAAAATACACATCTGAAGGAAAAGTCTCCTGGGACAAGCCGGACACTATTGTGCATCAAGGTACATAGACTGTACACTTGTTGAACATCACATGTGAATAACTGTAGGAGCGGACAGCTAAACTACAACAAGTGTAGACGATGCACTTGTTGAATGTACGTAACATGTGAACACCCCTAATATTATTCTGGCTCACTTGATCTCCAAGTAGATTCAAGGGTTAAATAATTCAAAAATTGGATGTTTTGTTTTGTGGGAGTTATTTGCCAGGCAAGAAAAAACTACCACTGACCTAACATTTTCCCAGGGTTTAAAGCCAGCATCAGTAATAGAAACGCAAAGAAAATAAGGACATAGGAAGAGCCCTGCTGCCTAAGGCCAATGGCCCATCTAGCTCAGCACCCTGTTCTTAAAGTGGCTGACCAGATGCTCATGGGAACCCCACAATCAGGACCCGAGCATCACGGCACTCTCCCCATTTGTGATTCCTAGCACAGTGGTACCTCGGGTTAAGTACTTAAACAGTGGACACAAGTACATAAACAAATTGTCCTGCCTCAGTTCAGTGTCATGCTGATGGTTGATAAAGCTGTTATAATCAGAAACATGACCTTTCTATGTATGACATTAGGAAACAGAAACATGACCTTTCTATATATGATATTAGGAAACATGGGTCTTTTTAGGTGAAAAAGTAAACTGCTTAATTAATCAGTTGTTTTAACTGATTTCAGTATTGTACAGTGGTACCTCTGGTTACATACTTAATTCGTTCTGGAGGTCCGTTCTTAACCTGAAACTGTTCTTAACCTGAAGCACCACTTTAGCTAATGGGGCCTCCTGCTGCCGCCGCGCCGCCGGAGCACAATTTCTGTTCTCATCCTGAAGCAAAATTCTTAACCTGAAGCACTATTTCTGGGTTAGCAGAGTCTGTAACCTGAAGTGTATGCAACCCGAGGCATATCTCACATCCAGGCCCCTGCAGTTTGGCACCGATGACACGTTTTACTATTAGAATGACTCTAGGCAGCGATAAGCTGCAAGGGAGATATAATAGTGTTGTCCTTATCTCTCCAGACATCTACCCTATTGTAAATTCACCAGAGTCAGTCAGTCACATGGCACCTCAATCGACTACGGAGCCTCAAGGCAAGAAGGCTAAGCTCTGACTTCTGCTGCCGTTCTGCTTCTATCTATTCCAGCTTCTTCAGCATCGAGCCCCTCCGGAGGACAATGCAGAGCCACCCGGGAAGAAGACAGAAAAGCAGAGTGTGCCACAGAGGCAGGTTCACTGACACCACGCTGTGACTTTCAAAAGGTATGAATTCAGTAAAGGCCTTTCACGCATTGCGAAATTCTGACATGGATGCTATTTCTCCATGTGAGGAATAACAGCACAGGGAGCTGCTGCATACTGAGATATCTAGCTCAGGACCATCTACATGGATTGGCAGCCTTTCCCAGCAGCATTGGGAGATGCAAGGGATTGAACCTTCTGCATGCCAAGCATGTGAACTACCACTGAGCTGGCCCTTCCTCAAACTTGGAGTAGCTCCCGCATGCAGTTTGTCACATGTGGCATTTGTACATATGAAATGCTAGGGAATTGCAGATCATTGTGATAGCCAAACCCCATTCTTCCTGTCTGGGAAAAGTTGCATCCTATGAAATATGCAAACTAAAGCGTGTGTAGATATTGATAGTCGGCATATACCAGTACCTCTTCTCCCCTAAACCAGGGAGCCGTCTGAACAAATATATAAGCCAGGTCCAGCCTTCCATCCCTTTGTCACTTTGGCCTCCCAGTGCAATTTTCCTTCCTGTCCTCAGGGATAGGGGAATTGGCCTCACACCAGAAAGACCAAAACGATCAAGAAAAGGAAGAAGCAATGCCTCTTGCATGAAATCAAGGAAGGAGGATGGTGGCAAATATTTGTCTTCCAGGAGACTAGTAGTCAAAAGGCTGAGTGACAGGAAGGAGGGCTCTGTTTCCCTTCACACTTGCTTGCCTGCCCAGCAAAGAAACGGTCAGTTCACTGGTAGGCAGGAGTGACCTGGCTTCCCAGCACCAGCATCGCTACACGTTACTGGGATGGTGTGGCATAAGACAGAGTGGTAGTGAGGTCACAGCAGAATGGCACACCAGTGGAGCCCATCTGGTGTCTCTGCCAGCACACTTGCAGTGCCCTGGCCCAGTTTAGTGGCAGCAGTGCCGGTGCTAGGAGACCAGAGCTGCAGTGTGGTGTAGTGGTTAAGAGCGGTGGAATCTGGTGAACCAGGTTCGTGTCTCCGCTCCTCCACATGCAGCTGCTGCGTGACCTTGGGCTAGTCACACTTCTCTCTGAAGTCTTTCAGACCCACTCACCTCACAGAATGTTTGTTGTGGGGGAGGAAGGGAAAGTAGAATGTTAGCCGCTTTGAGACTCCTTTGGGTAGTGATAAAGTGGGATATCAAATCCAAACTCTTCTTCAAACTCTTCAGTGCCTCCGCTTCACACCGGCTGCTCCTGCAGTGCAGGCTGCACATTTCAAGCATGATTCATGTTTGTATTTCAACTGATTTGTCCACATGCAGACTAGGGAGAATATTATATACTGGATTCTTAGTGTGCTTTTTGATACTGCGTACTGATGTTTTGCTGGTGACGTGATGATTGTAAATTGTGTGAAGCGCTTAGAAATTTCATTATATTAAGTGGTATATAAGTTATTAACATTAAGGAAGGAAGGATCCTTTCAACTGGAGATGCCAAAGGCTGAATCTGGAACTTGCTGCATGGAAAGCATGGGCTCTGTCACTGAGCTACAGCCACTTCATGTTAAAAAAAGTATCAGAATGAAAACTGTCAGAAATAAGTGTTTGTGTGTAGACATTCTTTGCGCAATAGAGTACTCCTCCCAGACACTATTCCCCCCCCCCATTATGAGCAATCTGGTTTTAAAAATGCCTGTTGTTATTTTTTAAAGCTGGAGGGGGAAAGGCACACCTGTTATCTGGGAAAGTTTAGTGTCTCACAATAGCATCTTGGCAGCAACACCAGCTGAGACTAGGGAGAAATAATATCACAGCTAGTGAGCAGCTATGTTCTCTCAATCACCTGAATTGCATCTGTAGACTTTTTATGCATCTAGAAATATTTGGGGAAACTTTAGCACAGTAATCTCACATCCCAATGTGGAACTGCACCTCTATTTCAGATGTTCCAAAGCCATGATTTTGATCCGTTAATGTCTGTTCTCATTCCATCAGGGCAGAGCTGAAATTTCATGGGAAGAGTTCAGAATTTTTCTTATGCTGAAAGTATGGTATACACACACACTGATACACAGATACTGAAGAGGCAGCTGATTCTCACATAACGCGAGTTTGGTTGATTTGGTTCTCACTGCAGGGACATGTAAGGGTCATTTGCCTTGACCTGCACAGTCTCTTTGTGTAATGTTGAGTACAGCTCTCAGTTAAAAATAACAAGCACTTGCCACCAGCTTCCCTGGTTTTTAATCTAGCAACATATCTTAGATGTTTTTCACTCTGGAAAGGGGAAATCTGTTCTAATTCAAAGAACAGTAAGCTATTCATCTATATATCTCACAATACAGTTATATGGTCCAGTTAGACCATATAACAACAAAATCCATGAACTAGCAATAGCATAATGGCAGTGGAGTTGCACTGATGTAGCACCAGAGTTACGTGGCTACAATATTCTGCTAGCATAACCTAATGGGAACATAACACAGTAGTCTCCCATGGCTCCAATGCATGGTTGGTATCCACCAGGAGCTGTGCATTCAGTATTGTGGGTGTGACTGTGGAACTCCCTTCCAGCTAAGATCAGTCAGGCCCCTTCCCTCCTGCTTGACAAAGACCTTTCTATTCCAGCCAGCATTTTAGGTAGAAGTTTTACATTATGTTAAAACTTTTGAAAGCTGTTTGGACTTCTGAAGTGCTTTCACCTGTTGCACAGCTTAGCAGAGTATAGCAGAGTACTGCAGTGTTTCTTAGGCAAATCTTGAGATTGCCCAGTCAGGACGACGATCAGGAACAAAGATTGTCGACTAGTAACTTGATTCTTGTAGTTTATTATACAGTCATACCTCGGGTTACAGCTGCTTCAGGTTGCGGACCGCCGAAACCCGGAAGTACCGGAACGGGTTACTTCTGGGTTTCAGCAGTCATGCATGCGCAGAAGCACTAAATTGCACTTTGCGCATGTGCAGAAGTGCCGAATTGCAACCCACGCATGCGCAGATGCAGGTTGCGAATGTGCATCCCGCACGGATCACGTTCGCAGCCTGAGCATCCACTGTATACAGCAGTAAACATACAAGTCTTATCTACAAGTTACTATTTACAACAGGACTTCTTCACTCTCAGCAACTCCTCAACAACTCCAACACTAACCACACCAACCACCTGTGTCATAGGTCATGCTGCCTATATGAGGGACCTCAGCCAATCACTGAGCTGTTGCTGGGTCTCCTTATCTCTAGGCAGATTCCTTTCATGCTCTGTCTTCCCAGGCTGTGGAGACATTAATTGCTGCTTGCAAAGCTACACGTAAACCATGGATTCCAACACATTAAACCTAGTTATGGAACTTACCGGTAGGTTTTCACCTGTGGTTTTGGTTTCTTTTAACGTCTTATTTGACTAATGAACTGTTTTTATTGCTTGTTCTGTAAACAGCTTTGTGACCATCTATTTTAGACCATCTATATTAGAAATGAATAAATCATCAGCACAAGAACTAAAAATGGATAGCATTTATATAGGATTTAGGATGCAGTCCTAACCTCACTTACATAGTAGTATGCCCCGTCAAATTCAATAGGAGTGCTTTTCCTTCTGTTTAGTGGACAAAGAGCAACAAGACAGTTCAATAGTCTGGAACCTACTGTATGCCATTTCCATGGAAAGTTTGAGTTGGAGTGGAAAGAAATTCCCCATTAATTGCTATAACTTCATTTCTTAATGTCCACCGATGAACACTTGGCACTTCCTTATCTTTCCATTTTTGTATAAGAACAGTTTCTGTTCTTCACTTCACATTCATTGTGGTCTAGTTGCTGGGTTTTATGGATTTTTTTGGCATGTGACCACATGACATCATCATGATTCAGATAATATAGCCGAATAATATACTAGAAAGAAAAGGATTTTACTCTAATACAAAAAACAGACTTTTGTGAAAGATCCTCACTATGTTCATCTGTGTGGCGTGTGCACAAGTGCTGCACACTTTCTGTGTGAAGGGGGTTGGTGGATGTGCTTTAGGAGATATCTGTTGTGCACCATTTCCTTCTGGCCAGTGTGAACTGTCAGCTTGTGAGCTCAGTTCAGATGAGGGATATGGCAGACAGAGATGATGGCATGGGTCAAAGTACTGCCCATGACAGAAGTCATTAGCTGCAGACAAAATTCCATCACAATAACTAGGTTTGTCATAGTGAAGGAATGGGTTTCCAAAACCCAAAACTGACTGTGCAGGCAGTTTGAAACTGCACCAAAATCCCTATTTTTCCTTAGCTAAAATCCATTAACTTGAGCTCTGAGCTCAATGCATAAACAAAAGCCTGGCTGTATAGAAAAGTGCTCAGAGCCCTCTCCTTTATCAGTTGTGGCGGCAACTATGGCCTTCACTGTACCAGTAGTAGAACAGAACAGAGAGAAGACACGTCTGTGCTTTATCTTACGTCCTGGACACACTCTGACACACAAACCCAGGTCCGGGAACAAACGCTAGAGCGTGTTCCCAGAGATGATTACCTCTTCCCAGATAAGAGTAGGAAGAGGAAGACCCTTTTATGGTCAGAAGTACAGGAAGGAAGATCCTTTTATGGTTGAGAGTACCAGAGCAAGAACATATGTGATGTCAACCTGCGTACATAGGCTGACGTGGTTGGAAGGAGGGAGAGGGTGCCTGGAAGATATATATACTGCATGAAACTTGTCATTTCTTTGGACTTGCTGTGGACTCACCACGCAAGTGCCTTCTGCTATCCGGAGAGCAGAATAAACTCTTTCTTTGAACCAACTCGGTGTCACTTTGACTTCCTTCCTCCTGTCCCAGAGCAACGCAGACCCAATTGGTGAACTCCAATAAGGCTACAATAGCTCAGACAGACATGTAGCTCCCATTCTAATCTTCCATACAGGCATAGAATTCCAGAACACTTGACACAGTTGTGAGTCTTGTTTGCAAGGGGGTGGACTACATGACTCTCTGAGTGCTTTCCAACTCTATGATTCTAGTATTCTTTTTTAACCCTGCAAAAGGGCTATCTGCATGTGTGCGATCAAAATTCTGGCATTTA